ACTCTGGGGGAGCTCAGGCCACGGGGAGGCCGGGGGACACAGGCCAGGCCAAGGGGAAGCTGGCTTCCCAGAGAGGGGGTGTCTGGTGGGAGAGGCATCCCCCAGGGACACCCCCCACAGGAGGCTCAGGGGGCCACAGGCTCCCACTCCTGAGCCCCAGGGGGTCAGCCCGGGCACCCTTGAGCCCTGGCAGGAGCACCAAAAGCAAAAAGACCAGGACCTGGGGGCCCTGCCCACCCATGCTGCAGGGTCCCCACAGAGGCCCCTCCCTCCCTGTCCTGACCACCCGCAGGCAGGTGGCTGCGCTCACCCACGGAGTGTGTCACAGAGCAGGCTCCATGACCTGGTGGCAGGCTGGGGCGCAGCTCTGTGCACCCCGGAGGAACTCCCACCCCAGCCCAAAGAAGGAAGTTGCTGCTTGGGGCTCACAGTCGACGGCAGGCAAGCTGGGGTCCTGGAGCTGCCGGGGGCAAACTGAACCTGCTCCCTGACCTTGGGCTCCACCCCCACATCTTCCCTGAGGAGGGAGCATCCCTTCCTTCCCCCTGCATGCCTATGCCCAGGGGTCCAAACTGGGCAGAAGGGACCCCTCCCTGGGCCAGGAAGGTCTGCCCTGGGTGATGGTGGGGTCTTGGGCCTGGGAGGGGCTGTAGGTTCTAACCTGGCTAAGCAGCTCTCCACGGGCACCAGAGCAGGTGGCAGTGGGGCCCCAGCGCAGATCAGCTGTGCCTGCTGCCCCTGCCGGCCCCAGTCCTACCCCGTGGCCCACCTGCCCATGACAGCTGTCACCACAGAAAGGCGCCAGGAGAGGCGGGAAGGGACTCGGGGAGGGAGGGCCCAGAGCTCCACACACTCTGCAGGGGAAGCTGGGAGGAGCCAGTGGAGGGAGGCAAGCCAGCCAGCCTCACTGGGCACCTGCCCCCTCTCCTTCTCATGCGTGCATCATCAGAGCTGGGAGGGGGCCCCCCTGGGAGCCCAACCCCTGGTTTGTCCTCAGGGGACGCTGAGACTCGGAGGGGACACGCAGACTCTTAGCTCAGGCCCAGCGCCTGCAGAGTCCAGGGGGAATTGGGACTCCAGCTGCCTGCTCAGGACGCCCAGGGCACTCACGATGAAGAATTTCATCCCGTCTGTGCCCACCCCCCAGGTAGCAGGGGGCCTCAAGGCCCATGCAGACCCCACAAGACTGGCCTCTCACGGCATCAGCCAACCCTCCCCCTGAGCCTCTGGGGACGCCAGGGACCTGGCTTTTATGCACCCTCCCCTGGTGGGAGGTGGGAGGCCTGTTTGAGGGCTGGTGCTGGGGAGTGAGCCACGTGGGGTAGGCTGACACGGTCACCACCCAGGGCATGGGCTCTTCCTGCAGGAACCCCAAGGAGGGCAAGTGGCGACAGAGGCCCCAGGGCGTCAGGTCCTTCCCTGGCACAGCTGATCCCAGGCCCTCTGTCCTCGGGGACACAGTGCTCTTAAACACGGAGCCTGGTCCCTGCCTCCCCTGCACAACGTTGCTTTGTCACGCACTCCCCATGGCCAGGCACCACCCTCGTCCTTGCAGTCCTGCTGAGGCTGACCAGGTAGACAAGGAAGCTACATGCATCACCTGGCAAACAAGAGGTAGTGAAGGGACGGGTCTGGGGGCTCCCCACACCCACAGTGGCCTCCCAGCAGGAAGCCTGCTCTGGGCCCTCTCAGCCCTATGGACCCTGGCAGCAGTGACCTCCGGGAGCTCACTGTCCCCGCAAGAATCTCTGCTCTGGGACTCCTCCAAGGTCTGCCAAGGGGCCTGCTGGCCTACTGGGGCCCGTCCTCTCCATTGCCTGCCTCAGCTGCCTCGGCTGGCCCCATGTGGCAGGAGGGTGTCCAAGGACGATGACTGACCCTTCCTGCAGAGCTGGGCAGGGCCTGTGCTCCGGCCCACATGTTCCATCACCTCAGCTTCACAAGCAAGGACACCAAGGCTCAAGGTGGAGGGGGATGCATTCCGGGACAGCCTGGCTCCTCAGGTGGGCCATTACCCGTCCTACTTGTCCCCACCGGCCACTCAGGCAGTGATTCAGGGCCTCCTGTGGGCCTGCCACGGCCTCTCTTCCAACTGTGGTCTGACTGTGGCAGAAGCAGTGCTCAGAAACCTGCACAACCTGCGGGACGGGATCTGCCCCACAACCAGCAGGGCCCCAAGGCTCCAGACAGTGGGAAGTGCCACCCCAGAGGAACAATGTCCCCCCACTCAAGGACGGTCCCCATCAGCCCAGTGGACAGCAGGCCTTTCCACCCAGCCGAGTCACAGTCTCAGGGCTGGCAGAAAATGAAGGACTCAGCTGCTTCCTTGCCCCAAGGCCTGGCCTGGGCAGCCTCTTGTCCAAGGTCACCTGCCTGGAGCCCGTGGGTGGAGGGAGTTCCCAGGCTGGGCTGGACAGCACCACGGGGTAGCAAGCTCCAGGGGTTCCCACTTGCACTGGCCCGGGCCCCTGAGCACACCAGGCAGGGGTCCCTGGGTGGGACAGAGGGACGGCGGGGCACCTGGCTCTGACCCAGCTGCTGAGCTGCCTCCATCTCTGCATTTGGGCCACCTCGGGCCACACGAGGGTGAAGAGTGGCTCAGGCAGGCTCTCGGTATGGTGCTGCCACAGACCAGTGTCTGAGCTGCGACGGGACCAGGCGGGGCAGGACGAGGCTGCCCCGGTGGCCCCGGGGAACCCCCACCTTTGCAAATGGAGCTTTGCATGCAGGTGGCTCAAGTGTGACTTCTAGAAGGTGGGTCCCTACCTGAGAGGCGGGAGGCCATGTCCTCACTACCCGACTCCTGCTGAGAGACATGCTCCTTCCTGCCTAAGCATCCTCCGGGTGGATGTGGAAGGCACCCACCCTGTGGGAGATTAGAGCCCCTCCTGCCTATTGCAGCACAGAATCCCCTCCCGACGCTGGGGCAGTGGAGTGAGCCGGGCCGGGGGGGTGGGGGCTCCCAGACTCAGGACACAAACCTCTCAGGAGACTGTACTCGGGGTCTCCCCTCCCTGGACCTCCTGCCCCTCCACAGGGTCGATGGCATGAATGCCTGGCAGCCAGCTTTTCTACTGTGACCGAAGTGCCTGACGTTTGATCCTGAGGCAGTTACATACCAGACCCCCATCCAGAATAAACGTATGGCCTGTTGCCCAGCTAGAGAAAGAGCCAGCACCTCCCCTGCCCCCACCGTGTGGTTCCACTTGGACAAAGCCCTGAATGACCTGGAAAGCTGACCACTTGAGTGACCCTGCTTTCCAGCCCGGGCTTTGATATCCGATAGCTACCAATAAAGAGTGAGCCCCCAAGACCCCAGGTCCTCCCCCTGCCCCCAGTAAAAGCAGCCACTCCACCCCATCTGCGCGCTCTCTTCCCCGCCCAACCCACACCTGGCTGTGTGGCCCCTGGCCTGCCCTGTGCCCTCCAGCCCTGTCAGCAAGACCCTTGTTCAAAGTCACTGATATGTGTCTTGCCATCGTGCGAAGAGCAAGGCTGGTCCACCCACAACCGTGGCTCCATCGGGAGCTGTCTGCGGGGCTCGCTGTGGAGGACACTGTAGTCCAGGAGGGGGTCCCGGGAGGGGAGAGGCCAGGACCGTGGCCCCCGCGGGTAGAACAGAAAGTGTTCTGAAGGGGCAGGACACAGCTTCTACCTCTGCACCCTGGCCTTTGAGGCCGATGCTTCCGCACGTCTGCCTCAGCTTCCCCAGCCATAAAATGGGAATAAACAGGCACTGAATGTGGCGAGCTGTTCTCACCCCAATGGTCTCCTGAGTGGGGCAGGACGCCGGGGCCAGGCAGGCAGATTCCTCAGACCCAGTGGGAAAGGTTCCGAGAAATGGCCATCACGGGGCTCCCTGTCCACCACATGCCAGCCCTGGGCTGCAACTGCCCAAGTCCCACTGGGCTAGCCTAGTGTCTTCAATGGACACCATGGAGAACACGGAGGATGCCCCCGCCTCCTGGCTTCACTCTGCTCATTCACATGACTGGAGCCCACACGGCCCTTGCTGGCTGCCAAATGCTCAGGGTTCCTCAGACGTGGGGAGGGGGCCAGGCTCTCCTGGCCTCCAGAGTTCTCAGCTCAGCCTCCTTCCTGTGCCCTGGCTCTTGGCCTGGGGCTGACGCCCTGAGACAGACATGCTGGGCCTCGGGGAGGCCAGTGGCCAGCACAGCTCCCATCCGGGGATATGAAGCAGCCCGGGAGTCTAGCAGTGGCTGTCCCAAGGGGGCAACTGCAGGAGGGATGCCGGGGCCTCCCTAGGGCCAAGGGCCCTCACACCCCCTCCCTGTTTTCAGCCTGCCTGCACCCTCCACTGATCACACAGGGTCTTGCAATGGGCGGTCAGAGAGAGACACAGGGACGTGGCCACCACCTAGCTACCACAACCCTGCCTTCTTGCCAAGAGGAATGCCTGGGGCGGGAAGACCTGAGACAGGGCAATAGGGGGTCAGGCCTCAGTTATCCCTGCATGTGCCCAGCTTGTTCCTCCTCTGGAAACAGCAGCTCGGTCTCCCTCTGGGGCTCTCTTCTCACTCCCCTTGGTTCCATCCCGCCCCTGTCCCAGGGGACCCAGGTTGATCAGGGGCATGAGAATGGCCCAGACGTGGGCACCAAACCACGTTCAGACCAGTGAGAGGCAGGCCTGCTGGACTACCAGCAAAGAGGGTCCTCCTGACGGGAAGGGAGATGCTGGTGGGGCCTGGTCCCTTCCACAGAGACTAGAGGCTGCCTAAGAACACAGCCACCGTGGAGTGGAGAAAGCAGAGCGAGAGACAGAGAGACAGCCGTTTGATCACCTAGATCCAGCCATGTCTGAATCCATTCCTACCCCTGGACTAACAGTTTCATGAGCTGATATATTTTCTACCTTGCAGCTGAGATGTCCTGACAAACCTGCCGAGGAAGCCTGTTTCCTGCCCTGCAGGCTCCCCGGCAGAATGGTCCACACTTACTGCCCCCACCCGGAGACCTCCACAGACAGCAGCCCCACTTACCATGACAGGTGTGGTCATGCCCTGCAGGTGGAAGACATCCATGCCTGCCTCTGTGCCGCCCACCACCTCACTGTTTCCCTGGTTTGGCTGGGGAAGGTCAAAGTAGGTGCTGTCTGGTTCCCTGGGAAGAGAGGGGCAGAACCATCAGTCCCAGACTGCCCCGGCCCAGAGCTCCTGGGGACCTTGCCTTTCCTGCCCACAGGAGCCCTTCAGCACACCGTGTATCTCCTCTGCTGGCCTCTGCAGGCGAGGCTGCCAGGGAGGCATGGACACACGTGAGCTCTGCCCCTTGGATCTCAGGCCAGCTGGTCGGAGGAACGAGCCCAGACCCTGACCCTGCATCCCCAGGAGAAAGCCCAGGCCAGCAGTCCCTGCCTCCCTATCACCTAGCCCATGTCCCACCCTGGCAGCTGGGGAAGTACTCACAGGGAGCTCCAGAGGTGCTCGAACGTGGCCCCCTCGTCGTTGGCGGTGGACTGGGACATCTTCCCTGCACCTGGCCCCGAGGGCGGCTTGCTCTGTGAGGAGGGAAGAAGGACATGGGTGCTCTGGGAAGGCTGGCCTCCGCCCTCCTTAGGCATCTCCAGGGACTGGGCAGGCCAACACTCTGACATCAATGGCACCCCAATGATGAGGAGGGAACACCTTTCAACCCCCCACTTCATCCTCCCCTTTCCTGGGCAGAACCCCACCTTGCAGAGGGGCGGGCCTGGCTCCAGCCCCCAGTTGGGAGGGGGTGCCCTGGGTAGCAGGGGCTCCTCAGAGCCACCACCTATGAGGGGGGTGATGACAGCACCCCTCCACGAGGCTGCAGGCACCTTTGGGAGCTTGAATTGAGATCCTTGCTGTGCCTGGATCACAAGGAACACTAAACACGTGTGGCCACTCTCACTATGAACTGTCTCTAGGCTTAGCCTTCAGGGCTCAAGTCAGATTTGAGGGCTCCTGGTACCTCTGATGCCCCCAGCTCCGAGGTCACCCACTCTCAGGAGGGGCCTGTGCAGGGCATGTCCAGAGGCTGGAGCCGAGCCCCAGATCTGAGGCTGGCTGTGCCCTAGGGCTACAGGATGTCAGATGGCTTCCCCCTCAGAGACGGGGTCCTCCCCTGCAGCCTGGACACAAGAGCAACTCCAACCCTGTGAGCAAGGCCAGGCCAGGGCCGTGAAGCTGTTGCTGGGGCGGGGCGACTGCCCGTGGGTTTCCCCCAAAACAGGGGATGCCCAGGGACTGGGGTGCCCGATCTGGTGCCCAGACAGGCTGACCTGTGTCACCAGCATTTCCTCTCCCAAGAGCAACCATGCCCAGCTCCCACCCCATAGCGGCCCTACAGTGGCCCTGCCATCCCAGGACCAGTCCTGGCACAGCTGGGGCTCCTGACTTCCAGTGATGGAGAAGGGAGGAAACCAGAGTCTGCCCTACCCCCCACCCCCTGCCAGTGGTGTCTCCCCGAGCCACCCTCGGGTCCTTGGCAAAGGGCCGGGGGAATCAGTTTGGCCACCATCCACCTGGCATTGCCCAAGTAGGCAGGCCTGGACCTGCCCACAGCCATCGGGGGAGGGAGGGCAAACCCACCATCTGTCACTCGGTCCCCAGGTAGGCGGGCGCTGGTGGAGGTCTGGGCACTCTCCTGAGGCCACCATGTGCCAGGCCACCGGTCTCTGGAGCAGTGGCACGAGCCAGGAAGGCTGCCTCAGCGGCAGGGCTGGGCACCGGCAAGGGAGGCCCAAGGGCTGGGGCGGGCCGGACAAGGATGGCCTGGGACTGGTGGCTTAGAGAGCACTGGCCCCAAACCAACCCTTCCGCAGGCTCAGAGAAGTTAAATGACCTGCTGAGGTCACACAGCACTGCTGTCTACAGAGGAATGACCAAGTGGTTTCCTCAGAATTCAAAATTAACTTAGCTACCCACCCCTGCAACATGTGCACCTTCAGCACACGATCTACCCACAAGGATTTAAGGATTTGGGAGTATTAAAAATATATTTTATTTATTTGAGAGAGCAAGCGAGAGAGCGAGCATGCAGGCACATGCATGCACACAAGCAGGGGAGGGGAAGGGACAGAGGGAGAGAGAATCTCCAGCAGAGTCTGGACAGCCAACACAGGGCTCTATCTCACGACCCTGAGATCATGACCCGAGCTGAGACCAAGAGTCAAATGCTTAGCTGGTGGAGCCCTCCAGGCGCCCCTGCCTGGAGAGTTTAACAAAGCTAGGCAATGCCAATTTGCATGCCTCCTATTCCGGGGAGGTCACTCCCTCCCTAGGCTGAGCTGCCCAAAGCCCAGTAGAGCCGAGTGCGGGGTGCGGAGCTAGGGGTGGACTTAGGAGGCAGAACAGGGCCGGCTGCCCAGCTGTGGGGCCAGCCACCAAGCTGAGGCTGGGCAGAAACCCGCCCTCACACGTTCCCTACGGCTGGTCCTTTCTGGGTGAGCAGGGAGTATTAGTCGAGTGGCCTCTTGGTGTGGACACCGTGTGCTGACAACATGCCCAACTCACCCAGGCCATTTGGGTGCCCTCTTCATTTTAAAGATGGACCATCCAAAGGATGGTCACCCCTGCAAGTCTAATCACAGCAGCCCAGAGATGCCAACAGCCCAGATGTGCACTGACAGACAGATGGAGAGACACAGACACACGTGGCCCATCTGCAGTGGGGTAGCACTTGGCCACAGGAAGGAACGGAGCGTGGACACTTGCAACAGGGTGCGTGAGCCTCGAGGACAACCCCCCAAAGGAGGGAAGCCAGACACAAAGGACCAGGCCCCAGGGGCCTGCACTTACAAAGTGTCCAGACAAACCCCGAGGGCACTGAAGGCAGGTCGCTGGGTCTGGGGCTGGGGGAGGAGGACAGGGAGTGATGGGAATGGGGATGGGGTTTCCTTTGGAAGCGGCAGGATGTTCTGGAGTCCAATGGAGGTGGACATTGACAGCATTGTGACTATACTAAATGTCACTGCATGGTTCATCTTAAAAGGGTTAGTTTATTTCACCTTGACAAAAAAAATAATAAAAAACGGGGAGGCTGGGGTAGCCTATGGGGAGAATCCTGCTGCAGAGCATGTCCTGGGCACTCAGTGCACCCTCTGCAGGGAGATGGAAGCACTCCCTCTCTGAAGCCCAGGGTCCAAGAGACAGCCCCGGGAGCCCCTGTGGAGAACAGGGAAGAGAGGAGACACCACTGCCCCAGCACCCTGGTTCCAGCCCCTGCACCTCTCTCCTGAGGGAACCCACTGCCAGGGGACACCACCACTGTGTCTGCCCTCCACCCTTGTTGCTGCAGTCCCATCTGCACCCAGTCAGGCTGGTTCTGGCTGGGGGCACACCCGCCCTCCGTGACAGCAGGGCAGGGGGCAGGGCAGATGGAGCCACTTGGCCACACTAGGAGGCAACAGGAAGCCAAGTGATACCCAAGTCCCTGGGTCCCTGGCAACGGGTGGGGAGGAAGGTGTGATGCAGGTTCACCCACCTCTGCAGGATCAGCACTCTGCATTCGGCAGGTCCCGCTGCTTTTGCACCAAACTACCCCCAAACCCAGGACCCCGTGCACACTGTACCTCTATCACCACTTCTCCCATCACCCCTGCCTAGGCCAGGCCCCCTTTGGGTCCATCCTGGCCCCTGCAGAGCCTCAGAGCTGTGCCCTCCCTATCTAACTATTCGCCCCAGCAGGCTGCCCCTTACTCTCAGGATGAAGCCCCAAGTGGCCTCCGGGCCCACCCCCAACCCGACCCAGCCTGTCCCCCACAGGCCACTGCATGGCCACTCCTGGGCTAGAAGCACTGGCCCCACGGGCCCCCTCCCAGCACTGGCTCGGAGGCCCCCCTGTGGCACAGAGGTGCCAGTCAAACCAGCCCCTCCACCCAGCTATCTGTCTGTCTAAGAAGGAGCTCTAGACACAGAGGTCGAGGCCTGAGCATGCCTGTTCCCGTCCACTGGGCCCCCAGCCTGGGGCCGGCTCTGTGAACACGCAGCCAGGCGTCCCTGTGTGGGGCTGACATCACTGTGTGCTCCCCACCATCCCTGCCTGTCTGTCCAGGCTTCCATACTCCACCATGGGGACAGGCCCCGCAGCAGGGGGCCAGGCCTGGAAGGGGCTTCACCCTGTGCCCGAAGACCTTGGCAGGGGGCCGTCCAGTTTCAGAGACCCCGACCAGGATGCACACTCCAGGGGCACCCGGGGGCACATCCAGTTGAGCATCCAACTCTTGTTTCAGCTCAGGTTGTGATCGTGGGGTTGAGCTAAGCGTGGACCCTCCTCCATCTCCCTCTGCCCCTCCCGCATGTGCTCTCTCTCTCTCTCAAACAAATACATAGATCTTAAAAAAAAAAAAAAAAAGCATGTTCTGGGGCTCACCCCAAGGGGCTCCCATGGCGGGAGCTCAGGGATCTGCATCTTTAAGTGGCACCAGGGGATTCTCCGTGACTCTGGGACAGACCCTCAAGGAGAAAGCCTCACACAGGCCCAGCTCCCCCATGTCACAGGGTCCTTCAGTGTCCACCCTGAGGGTGGTCACCAGCCTCCACTGGTGGCTTCCACTCAGGAAACCCGCCCTGCCTTACTTACAGGATGCCCTGGGGCCGAACCAGGAAGCCACATTCTCCACGATTCCCAATTTCCCTGGACATTCCCCAGAGCTTGTGGCCCTGAAGCCAGGCCCCCGTGACCCTGAGTCAAGGGAGCTGCAGACCCTGTGCCCATAGGCACCAGGAGCTCCTGCAAGGGCATGAGAAAGAGGAAGTGCTGCTGTCGGGTGGAGAATCGGGGCCCCTCCCTGGCACCTGCCCCCGACCCCAAGGGCCCCACTCCTCTATCCTCAGGGCAGGGCCAGGATCTGCCCTGTACCTCCTGCAGCATTTTGGCCAAAAGGACAGCAGAGATAAGAAACAGAACAGCTCCTTGGAAGGCACACCCAATGGCCCCAGTGACCCCACTTTATATTTGGAAACAGGCTCACGATGGAAACATGGCTCCTGGACCTCATGGCAACGGCTTTTGCAGATGTTGCAGATCATCTTAAAGATGACACGTGTAGTGGGGGAGGGACCTCTGGGTCGCAATAGAGCTGCTAAGGGCAGCCACGTCTGTGGCCCCCGGGGTCTTCCATGGGCAGCCAGTTGTCCTGGAGGGAGCGCTCACTTGGCCTTGACCTCGCAAGGACCCAGGTGCACACGGGGCTCGGGGCGGTGCTGGGGCTGTGAGGCTGTGGGCTCAGGAAGCACGGGGCGTGCCATCCCCAGAACCGCCCCGCAGAGGCACCCCCGGAAAGGGCGCTGAGTGCCTCCCCTGAGCTGCCTGGCCGGGGCCCTGCGGCGGGTGCTGCTGACCCTCAGCGCGTCACCCTGCTGCGCCTCAAGGAATTTCCAGCAAGTAATTGTGAGTCGGAGAGCACCGTGGGGCCGGAAGCACCCCGGGACCCACAGAGCTCAGGTGGGCTGCAGGCACCGCACAGCCTGGAGCCAGAATGGAGGCGCAGCCTCCCCGCCCCAAATTCTCGATGTGACT